TGGATTAGATTAGTAATACACTTGGAGAAGTTGAAATTGCTTTGAATATAGATGTCTGTGATCAAGGTAGGTAAATCTATTGTTGTCGTTGTTGGCTCTTGTATGGATGGGGGTTTTCGTGGATTTGATTTTGGAGTTGCTTGATTGTCTTTGATTGTGTCGCTAGAGGAATTAGTATTGTTTTTTAAAATAATAAAATAAGTATTTTTATATATTATTTTAAGTAATATAATTATTATTTTTTTATTTATTAATAATGACTAATAATTTTGTTTAAAATGAAAATCTTTAAATTACTTTAAAATTATATTAAGTAGCTAATTCTAATAACTTTAATAAAATATATTTTTCTAATTATTTTATCTATAGTATAACTTTGATTATATATAAAGATATTTTGTTTTGAAAATTATTTATTATATAAAAATTATAAAAATTTAAAGGATTATCAAAAATTCATAAATTAATTACATGATTATATAATATTTAACATATAACTATTTTAAATTATGACACTATTTCTTTTTATAAATAATTTCAAGAATAAATTTATAAAATAACATTAAAGAAATTAAAATAATAATATGTAATAATAGAATTTAATTATTCTATTATATTAGTTACTCTTTTTTAATCTTATTTATATAAAAAAATAAGTTTAATAAATTATAGTTTATAGTTTATTACTATAATTTATTTTAATAAAATCTTGATTATTTTTATATTTTAATTTATTTTTATATTATAGATATTTTTTGTTTTTATATTTTTATTAATAATTTCTTTTATTAATGTTCTTGTTAACTTTAAGTATTTTAAATATACTTGAATTATAATAAAATATTAAAAATCAAATAATTAATTTAATTGCAAGTAATTATACAGTATATGCTTTATATTTTAATATTGTCATTATCAAAAACTGAAAATCACAATTAAATATTAACATGAAATTACAATTAAGTTTAAATTTATTGAAAATACAAAAAAAGGTTTAATAAGTTATACATTTGATAAATCAAATCTGACTTAACTCAATTAAATTTTCTGCTTCTTTTTTTCAATATTTTAAAAAAATATATTAAATTTATAATTAATATTATAAATGTTAAAAGATACAAATTTCAATTTATTGTTATAATATAAATTTGACAGTTTATAAAAATAAAAAAATTTAAATGCCTTACTTAACATTAAAAAGAAAAATAAAATTATTTAACTATACAACTTGATTTTTCACGATTTAATTCTAAATTTTTCTACGCATGGTGATAATTATGCCGTATATTAAATAAAACATTAGGTTCAGTCGAGAATTTTTTTTATTTTTAACTTTCCTCAATTGTTGCAAATTAAGCCTCTTCGTGGGTATAATCGCTTAAACGACTTCTTGGGTATAAAAAACGACTTGTCGACCAGTAATTTTTATTTTCGGTAGGTTTTCCGGCTAAGTGTTACATTACCAAAATGTGATAAAAGGTCGTCCCCTATTACATATGTACGTAATTGTACTAACTTCTAAAATTTTTTAGATTTACGCTCTTTATTTCTTTTCGTTCCTTAATTTTAATATTAAACTTTCTCTACACATATGGCATATATCAGAAAAGCTGAAGGCAAATATCAACATTCTATATCTTCCATTAATAAATTTCATAAAATTATTGACACATTCTTTTTATAAAGACCCAGAAATTATATTAACTCCCGAAGAAAAGCAAGTATATGGGCAGTTGTTCAAAGTTGCTGATGTTGAAAAAAAGGGCGTGATTGAAGGTCAACATGCCGTTAAACTCTTTGAAAAGTCGGGATTGCCTGCAAAAACATTAGGCGAGGTATGTAATTAACTATATGCTATCGATGATATTATAGACTTTCTAATTTCCTTTCATTACGTCTTGAAGATTTGGCAAATCGCTGACTATAATAATCAAGGTTTTTTGACACAACAAACCTTCAGTATCGCTATCAGATTAATTGCTCAAGTTCAGAACGGTCAATTGCCTGATCTTGCTCA